ACAACGGGCTCAAAGTTTAAGTTGCAGGGTGGGCTATAATTATGATAAGCACTGTAGTTAGCCGAGGGATCATTTTGTGATATGTCTTTAAGTGGATGTTTGTGTTGTGGCTCATCGATGGCTAGTAGTGACGCTAATTTGTGTATGGGCCGTTTAAAGGTGCCATGAGCTGTCTTCACATCGACCACTCGTATATGGGTGTCGGGGCCGGTGTACACCCTTTGAATTCTTCCCATAGACCATTGTCGGCATGGTACGTTGTCCTCTTTGATGAGTACCAACATTCCTTCTGATACGTTTGCCGTATCTCGTTGTACGTTTCTGAAGTTCGTGGAGGTATTCCTATGACCATAGAGTCCAGAACGTATGCTTCAAATGTTGAATTAACTCTAATCTTTGTCCAAGCGACCTTCCGTCTTCCCTTTCTGCGTCATGGGCTTGTGCTGTTAGCGGTTCTCCAATCAGAAAGTGTCCAGGTGTTAGTGCAGTAAGATCATTTGGATCGGTTGACATAGGAGTTATTGGGCGAGAGTTAAGTATTGCCTCTATCTCAATGACAACGGGTTCAAGTTCATCATACGTTAATGAAGCGGTCGATACATTTTTCAACAGTAAGTGTTTTGCTGACTTAACTGCTGCTTCCCAGAGTCCGCCAACGTGTGGTGCTCGAGGAGGAATAAAGTGGAACTTTACATTTGTTTTGTGGCATTCAGCTAATATACTGTCTTTTGCCTTGTCGCTGTAGATTGCGTCTTCTAGCTCTTTCAATTTGTTGTTGGCGCCCACAAAGTTTGTAGCATTGTCGCTGTGTAGTGTTTGGCAATTTCTACGGCGTCCCATAAATCGCTTTAAAGCCGCAATGAATTTGCCAGTAGTTAAATCACTTAATGTTTCCATATGGATGGCCTTAGTCGCAAAACAGCAGAATATCGCGATGTAAGCTTTGTCTGGGCGCCTTTCTCGAACTTTATGATGAATCCAGAATGGACCACAGTAATCGACCCCAGCATTTTTAAATGGTCTTGCTGGGCTGACGCGTAGTTCCGGTAGATTTCCCATTAATTGTTGAAACATCTTTGGTTTTGCTCGAGTACATCGGACGCAGTTTTGAGTAATGTTCCGTGCTAATGTTTTCCCTTTAAGTATCCAGTAATTTTGCCTTGACTTTGCAAGTAGTGCTTGTGGTTCACAGTGCATGTTGTCTATGTGAAGTTCTCGTAACAGAGATTTGATTTGGTAACAATATGGGATGTTTTTCATCAAATGATAGAGCTGATTTTTCGATCCTACCGCCCACTCGTATGATATTATCCTTGTCTAGAAACGGTGTCATAGATTTGAGGTTGCTTTTGCTGTCTACTACGCCATGTTTTGTGTGGTTCGTCAACTCCTGAGCGAAGTCTACCTGTTTGATCTTGCGTAATATAACAATCCTGGCACGTTCCAACTCCTCATGTGTGAGTGTATTACCATTTTTGTTTGGGTGTCGTGCCGTATTATATATGCTATAATGCGTTGTAGTCTTCGGGAGGAATTAGTGTGATTAATGGAATAGATTACATCACATGTTTTTGCGACAGGAGCTGCTACAGCCCTTGGGTTTCCCTTTCGTCCCAATGTGTCGTTAGCGCTGGGCATTTTGATGAACGGCTCTGGCCATTTTTATGATGATCCATGAAGGAATAATGGCCCGTGTAGCCACAAGGTCGTTGAATCCAGATTCCTCGCTAATGTTCCTCGTGACAGTATATCTACAGCGTTGTTTTGTGAGGAGACGCCACTGAGTTGCTATAGTCAATTCCTGGATTTTCGCAACTCTATTTGCGACATAAGTTTCCAAACTTGATGATTGTGAATTTATCCATGATAGTACAATTCTTGAATCTGTCCATAAATATGCTGGATTGCAGCTACTCTTCATATTGTAGCAGGATACTAGCCTATGTTATACTATAAGGTGTAGCAGGATACTAGTCTATGTTATACTATAAGCACTGACCAGAGAACACATAGACTAGACATGTAGAACAAACTTTTTCAACACCGAAAAAATGCGCTGAGCGGACCGGACAACTTCGTATTTGGTCGGCTCGGTCTTCTGAGGCTCAAGCAGTGAAAATAAGGCAAGACAAAATCAGTATGCTGCGACTGCTGCCACGAAATGCACGCATTACTAAATGAAGCACGGCTATGCGCTCTTTTTTCCTTACTCACTCTCTCCCTCTCTTTATGCTCTCTCTCTCTCTCTCTATATATATGGTCTCTCAAATAGCAGCAGCGCACAGAAATTGAATATTGTTCGCGACGATCCCAGCTCTTTCCTCTTGAGTGAAGGGTATGCCGAAATCATAAAAGCATTTGTCACGCTCAAAAATGTAAGCGTTTAGATGGTAATTCGTGGGAAGGGTATGAAAGCGTTGATACGCATAAAGAATATGATTTCGCGACGGGCAAGTACACACACACTTGTAGTCCCTTGCTACATGTATGAGCATTTGTGACCTGCGTGCGTTACTCTTGCTGCTTGTAGCAATTTTAAAGCCCAGCATTTGCATTTGGTCGGTCTTACGGACTGTCATAACCAATTTACACAGATGTACTATGTACTATGAACATACATACATATGTACATAAGTACATTTATATATTATTATTGCTAATCATTTTTATAAATGTGTTTATATCCATAAATAATTATATATAGTTAAAATTATTTTATACACATTTTTAATCGAAAAAATTATCGTAAAACACTACTAGCTTTATTAAATGCTTTGCAATATATGAAATACACATGTCATATTATACTCAAGCTTTACTCATTATTGTCAAAAAATTTCTAATTAAGCATAATGGCCCATTTGATAGTCACCCTACGATTCAAATCATACAAAATTTACAAACTACTAAATCCAGAGACAATTAGCTTGCCATCCCATACAAGCATACACATACACAAATGTATGTATGCATGTGCTCACTTCACAAGGCAGACCAACGGCAAATTTTGGGCTTTACAATTTGCACAGCATGTTCTGCACAGAAAGAATACATTTTCGCGACGAGCATGCACACACACATTTACATCCTTGCTACGTGTATGTGCTTTTGTGTGCGTGCGTCGCGAAACTCAATTCTTTCTCAGTATTTTCGTCTATTATCAGCCCAAAAGTTGCCGTTGGTCTGCCTTGTGAAGTGAGCACATGCATACATACATTTGTGTATGTGTATGCTTGTATGGGATGGCAAGCTAATTGTCTCCGGATTTAGTAGTTTGTAAATTTTGTATGATTTGAATCGTAGGGTGACTATCAAATGGGCCATTATGCTTAATTAGAAATTTTTGACAATAATGAGTAAAGCTTGAGTATAATATGACATCTGTATTTCATATATTGCAAAGCATTTAATAAAGCTAGTAGTGTTTTACGATAATTTTTTCGATTAAAAATGTGTATAAAATAATTTTAACTATATATAATTATTTATGGATATAAACACATTTATAAAAATGATTAGCAATAATAATATATAAATGTACTTATGTACATATGTATTTATGTTCATAGTACATAGTACATCTGTGTAAAGTGGTTATGACAGTCCGTAAGACCGACCAAATGCAAATGCTGGGCTTTAAAATTGCTACAAGCAGCAAGAGTAACGCACGCAGGTCACAAATGCTCATACATGTAGCAAGGGACAGTGTGTGTGTGCATGCTCGTCGCGAAAACATTTTCATTATGCGCACCAACCCTTTCATACCCTTCCCACAAATAATAACGGAAACGCATGCCAAACGGTTTGAAAAGTTCGGTATACTCTTCACACAAAAGGGAAGACACGGGGTTCTTGCTACGAAGAAATTTCAATTTTCGTGAGCTGCTGCTTGTGCTCACAATGTTAGCCTCACATGCATACATACATATACACATTTGAGAGAGCAGAGAGCATCGAGAAAGAGAGAGAGCAAGGGAAACATTGAGCATAGAGGGATCTTTTGTTCAACATTTGACCATCTCGGTCGAGCGCATGAAGCGAAATGATTGTGCTTTCGTATGTTTTAGTAACCCAAACCTAAAAGGAGCCGAGCGAATACGAAGTTGTCTGGGGTGTTAACGCTCGAAAAAATGTGTGCAAAACGCTTTACACTACGTGTCCGGTCTATGTGTTCTCTGGTCAGTGCTATAAGGTAACAGCACTATGGTTAACCATCGATAGATACATATCTATCGATAGTTAACCATATCAGTGGCTGAGGAGGCTGTCGATATGGGACATGCCAATTTGAGTAATAGAAGAAGAGGAGGTAGATCGATACATTTTGAGCTTGATTGTGAACAAGAGAAGACGTGTGTAAATCAAGAGATTAACAAATGAAGAAATTAAAGAAAAGGCCTACTACAATCTCAGAAGTGGGATAAAGTACACAAAATTTTCAAGTTAAGCAAAATGAATTTAAGTATAGACGAAGTATCTGTAGTGCAGTTAAAGAATTGGCTAGCTGCATTGGGCTTGTCGACTCAAGGGTGCAAGACTGAACTTGTTGCTCGCCTCAATGGCGTGCCCGCAAATTTGCGCGGCAGCGCCTCCGAATTGGAACAGAGTGAAGAGGAGTCAGCTCAAACTGGAGTATCTCAGACATTGCAAATGCAACAAGAGGAAATAGACAGGAACGAAGAAGTTTTGCGAGAGCTAAGCGAGCAGATCAACGCGGCGAAGAAGCAGCTAAAAATTTTCACACACGACAATTGGACAGAGACGGCAGCAGCAAGCGTGACGAAATTGACGCAGATGGCGTCGATGCAGAAGCTGAATTCGGGGAACGCGCTACTGACGCGCGCCAAAAGGACGCCGGTAAAAATTGCGTGTTAAATGAAAGTGATGTCAATGATGTTTAAATTAGCTAAAGAAATTATGGCGGAATTTACCGGGGAGGAGTCTATTAGCAACTGGATAGCGCCATTGAGTAATGTATCTAAATTATATCAACTAACGGACATGCAAAAAATACTGCTGTGCATGGCCAAGTTAAAAGGGAAAGCCATGCAGTGGATACATGCGGATCCATCAAGGATTGTACAACCGTTGGGCACACTACTGGATGGATTGGCAGCAGCATTCGAAAGCAAGATATCCAAGGCCGAAATACGTCGTAAGCTTGGGGCACGTATATGGAATGTCGACGAGAAGTTTTCTCTGTATTATGAAGAGAAAACACGTTTAGCAAGGGAAATCCATTTAGATGTAGATGAGCTACTGGACGGTCTCATTGAAGGAATACCGAATGCAATTTTACGCGCACAGGCCAGCATACAGTGCTTTGAAGACCCCAGCAAATTGGTAAGGGCTTTTGCAGATGTGCGTTTGCCACTGAAACGATCTACTGGAGGAAAAGGGACAACAGCAGTGGGACCAGGGCTCGATAATGCAATGACGGAGACGCGTTGCTTCAATTGCAACTATAAGGGACATTGGGCAAGAGATTGTCAGAAGCCCAAGAGGGAGAAGGGTACGTGCTACCACTGCGGCGCTAAGGATCATATGGTGGCACAATGCACGAAGAGGAAGGATGATATTGGAAACAATTTCGTAAGGTTAATCAATATACATTTTAAGACCAAAGATAAAGCTTCAGTTATTGCAGAATGCCTCATAGATTCAGGAAGTCCCATTTCGTTTATTAAAAAATCGTGTGTAACATTTGGAATAAAGCACATACAGAAAATTACTTTGGGCTAAATGAAAGCCAGTTGAATGTTATTGGAAAAACGTTTGTTCATATTTTCAAGAAGTTTAAAAAAAATAAATTTTTGGTTAATAGCTGTGGCTGATGAATCTATGAGGTGGGAAGTAATTTTGGGGAGGGATTTCATGGAAGCTTGCAATTTATACGTTGACCCAAACGCTCTGAGGATGATTTCAGTGGAAAGAACAGCCGGCACGTTGGTCGAATCGAAGCCTATCATAGCAAAACTTAGAGGAAACGACCATATGGCAAAAGGGAAATTAAGTACGGTAGAGAATAAATTGTTAGAAGAGAAATTGTTAGATAAATTGTTAGAAAATGAAGAATTAGAAGAGAAATTGTTAGATAAATTGTTAGAAAATGAAGAATAAGAAGAGAAATTGTTAGATAAATTGTTAGAAAATGAAGAATTAGAAGAGAAATTGTTAGATAAATTGTTAGAAAATAAAGAGTTAGAAGAAAAATTATTAGGCAAAGAAGAGAACGATAGTTCAAAAGAGTGTTTAGAAAAGTCAATGGAAATAAATATCAAAAGCGTTTTAAATGATAATTTTGAAAACAGCATGCTTCAAATTAATATGGTAGAAGGAGACAATGAAAAAGAGACATATATTATCGGTGAAAACATTAGTTATGATGTACGAGAAATCTAATTAGATTGCTGAAAGTGGCATATGTAGATGCTGAAAAGCCAGTGAAACCTAAGAACAAATGTGAAATGAACATACGAATTGAGAAAGCAAAACAGTTTAGCTGCTCACCAAGAAGGTTATCATACGCTGAAAAGGAAAAATTACAGATAATGTTAGATGAATACCTTAGAGATGGCATCATACAACCTAGTTGCTCAGAGTATGCTTCGCCAATAGTATTGGTAAAGAAAACAAGTAAGAAAGCTCTAGTCGAGACTACTCGACTACGAGATCCCCTGAACCCTTGGAGTAATAGATATTTCAATAATTTTTCGCGTCTTTCAGCTTACACAAGAAACACGCACACACATACACACACGCACGCACACACACACAGGCATACATACACACACATACATACACACATACACACACACACACACACATACACAAACAATAACATACATATACACACACAAGCATAAACACGCATGGACGACAGTGAGCGCTTACTATGAGAACTTAATTGCTTAATAACTTTTTTGTGGACGTACGATTTTCATGAAACTTTCAGATTATGATTATGACATGGATATGCATGTAATTGCCAAAGCACAAGTCTCTAGTATTTGAAATACGCTTTTTACAAAAGTGAGGGTGAGGGGGTGAATTTAAGGGTGGGGGGTAAATTTTAACAAAAATCGAAATTGTATAAATTGCATATAAGCATACATTAAAAATTTGGAGACTCTAGCAATAAAGGTGTAGAAGATATAATTTTATAACTGGTTTTCGATAAGGTTTTTTATCGATAAAAAAATATTGGGGTGAGTTATCGATTTTTAATGATAAACTTAATATGCGCGCTGTAATTACGAACATTTAAAAAAAAATTTGAAGTCTCTAGCTCTTATATCTTCTGAAATCGACGCGTTCATACATACGGACAGACGGACAGACGGACGGACGGACAGACGGACAGACGGACAGACGGACAGACAGACGGACAGGGCCAAATCAACTCAGCTCGTCGCCCTGATCAAGAATATATATACTTTGTGGGGTCTGCCACGCCTCCTTCTGCCTGTTACATACATTTCAACAAAACCATTATACCCTGATTTCCCATTGAAAATGGGTTCAGGGTATAAAAACAGGAGACTTAAGAATGTGCGTTGATTTTAGAAAACTCAACAAGATCATGGTAAAAGATAATTATCCTTTGCCGTTAATTGATGATTTGTTAGACAGACTGGTGGGAAAGTCTGTTTTCACTAAGCTTGACCTTAAGAATGGATATTTTCATGTTTTTGTAGAGAAAGAGTCTGTAAAATACACATCGTTTGTTACGCCGCTTGGATTAAAAACTGCTCCGCAAATTTTTCAAAGGTTCGTTAATAAAAGAAAGCAAGGTAATCATATATATGGATGATATAATGATTGCCAGCGAAAATGTGTCCGAGCATCTCAAGATACTAGAAGAGGTTTTAAAACGATTAGTAGAAAACAATTTAGAGTTAAGGCTGGATAAATGTGAATTTTTGCAGAACAAGGTTAAATATTTGGGATATGTAATATCAGAAGATGGCATTAAAGCAGATGATAAGGGATTCTCGGGTTGTGTTCATATTTCAGAAGATTTATAAAAGATTTTTCAACTTTGGCAAATCCGTTGTATGACTTATTACGGAAAGATAGGAAACTTCAATTTGAAGAAAAGGAACTCAATTGTTTTTTATGCTTGAAGGATAAATTGTTAGAAGCACCAGTATTAGCGTTATATAATCATAAAGATGACGTAGAATTGCATTGTGATGCCAGTGCGTTGGGATTTGGAGCAGTGCTTTTACAAAAAAAAGAAGACGGAAAGCTGCATCTTGTATTTTATTTTTCAAAGCGAACGACAGAAACGGAAGCAAAGTATCATAGTTTCGAGCTGGAAACCTTAGCCATTATTAATGCGGAATACTCATTCACATCCCATCAACAATTTAGTAGTTAAGTTTCGCTCGAATACTGTAGATTATACGGGTTTTTCCGATTTGCCACGCCCCAACTGGGCGTAGACACCTCCTTTTTGGTCAGTTTTTAGAAAGAAATAACGGTACCCTAACTGCAAAGTTTGAATGCTTAACCTAAAAAAATGTGAAAAGTACAGGGTATTTTTCGATATGCCACGCCCCTAAAGAGCCGTAAAAATTATTTTTGGGGAATCGATAGAGGAGGCTACCAGTAACTCAACTATCCAAATTTAAAGCTTCTAGCTATTATACTTTAGGAGATATAAACTTTTGTGGTTTGCCACGCCCCCTGTGGGCGGACATATATCCGACAAAACTTTTTGGTCTTGGGTGGTCAGTCCGAGTATATATACAAAATTTGAGGTCTCTGCCATCAGTAGTGTCCAAAATATAGGAGAATTTAAAAAATCACTATATCTTCAGGTCCGATTTGCCACGCCCCCAATGGGCATAGACTTATAATTTTATCTATAGACTTTATAGAGTCATACCATTAGCTGACGTGCAAAATTTCAGCATTCTAGGTTTACAACTTTAGGAGATACAGTTTTATCCGATTTGCCACGCCCCCAATGGGCGTAGATATATCCGCCATAGCTCGTGATCTTGGGTGGTCAACGCGGACCTACATACCAAATTTCAGCTTTCTAGCTCTTTAACTAACATGATTTCTGGTATATCGGAAAATGCATTTTCCGATTTGCCACGCCCCTAGAGGGCGGATCGGGAAAATTTTAACACTTTATAAATCGGAGATATACACGAGTATGTGTTCCAAATTTCAAGTCTCTAGCTTCAATAGCGCCGAAATAGATTGCGTTCATACGGACAGACGGACAGACGGACAGACGGACGGACGGACAGACGGACGGACAGCAAGACGGACATTGCACAAAACCAATATACTGATTCACTTTCGTGAATGAGTATAAATAGATCTTAACCCTAGAATTGCAAGATGGGCATTGGAAATGCAAGAATTTGATTACGAATTAGTGCACAGGGCCGGAAGTCAAATGCAGCATGTAGATGCATTGAGTAGATACAATAATACCATTATGGTAACAGAAGCAAATAGTTTTCAGACTAATTTAATTATTTGCCAAACAAAAGATGCAAAGTTACAAGAAATTATAAAATTATTAGAGAAACAAGAGCACAAAAAAATTAGTGATAGTTTAGGAGAGCAATTAGAGAAAATAATGGGATTAGATACATACAGTTCACAGAATTTAGAAGATATTAGAGAACAAGCACAACATTATCAATCTGCATCACAAGCACGGAACGAAGAGAACTTTAATAATGCTAGAAAAGCTGCAAACGTATACAAGCCAGGAGATTATGTAATGGTTAAAAATTTCGACAGCACGGTAGGAATGTCAAGAAAATTAATACCTAAATCCAAAGGACCATATGTCATAGATAAAGTACTGAAGAACGATAGATATTTGATAAAAGACATTGACGGATTTCAATTATGCAGGAATCCTTATCAGGGCGTTTGGAGTGCAAACAATATAAGATATTGGGTAAAAGCATAGAGAGATACTGATCTGTATTGTAAATATTATTATTATTATTATTTATTTATTAGATAATATAAAAAATATAAATCCAAAAATTATTAAACGTGCTAGCTACGAGGGCCATCGACGTGAATGTTGGAAGTTGAATTGGATGAAAAATATTACAAAGATTTATAAACTTAACAATTAAATTAATATTTACAGCTGTAGGTTCGGTAAGTAGTGTGGTAGGAGGTGTGTTGCCGAAGAGTCTTATCCTCTCCCGTTGGTAGGTAGGGCATTGGTCAAGTATATGGTCTACCGTTTTACGTGTGATGCTGTTGTTGTTACAGCTGCAAAGAGAAGGCGCAGAGCCCGTAAGTAGGTGACCGTGTGAAAATTGTGTGTGTCCAATACGCAGACGAACAAAAGTTGACCACTCCTGTTTTCGGGTATTGGGGGGATATTTGCTGCCAAGTCCAGTAGCGTTGTACGTTTTGTAGCGATGGTGGAGTTATTCCAGTCGCATGAAGTTATGTTGGCGTGCCGAATAAGTTGTAAGCGGATAACAGTCTCAGCTAATGGAATATGCATGATAGTTGGGGATTGTGCAACTAAATTAGCTGCTGTATCCGCGTTTTCATTGCCAGGGATTCCTTGGTGACTGGGTACCCAAATAAGCACAACATTGTTTGCGATGCATAAGCTGCGGATGTCACTGATAACATCGTTATAGCAGTTGAGATTTTGTACTGCAGTTAGTGTGGAAAAACTGTCTGTGCAGATAATAAATTTGCCTTTGTTTTTCTGAGCGAAATGACAAGCTTTTAAAACAGAAAAAGCCTCT